CCCAAAATGGTGAGTAGCTGCAGGGGCAGGGTAAATCACTCTTCCCGGACCCTGCTGTAACTGGGCACATGGCTCTTGGGGAGAGCTACAATTATGGAAGGGGGGGCTGATAATCATTCCTCTCCCCACACTTTCCACAGGACGTGATCATTATGGAAGATATCTCACTGCTGAGGGTGAGCAGGGAATCAAGGGAGGGTCTTCTCCAAGACTGCGACTTCTGCCCTGGCCTCTATGCGGCTTGCCTGTGGGCAGCAATGTTGTCCCCCCTCCGTGACGGCACACTGGCGTGGGAAAGTTACTGTTAACAGTGCAAGAAACAAAGCAGTTCTGCCGAAGAACCTGCAGCAGCGGATTGCCAAGTATCTCCACGAGAGTTTCCTGGAGATCTGTGAGGGAGATCCACGTGAAGTGAGGGAGTCAATCAACAGCCTGTTCCACCACTCAGAGTAGACATATGGTGGGAGACAAGCCTGTTTTCTGCAACCCTCCTTCCCCCAACAACTCAATTCAGCGATTCCCAAAATCAAATCCACTTACCAGGGGCCTCCTCTCCTGTTTGTGCTTCGCCAACATCTGACAGCTGTGACTGGCTAGCCTCCTCCGGGGTAGAAAAGAGCTCCTGGCTGCATGCATCTCTGACCTCCGAGTCATCATCTGCCTCTGGATCCTCCTCCCCCTCCTCGTTCAAGATTTCCTCCTCCTGGCTCGGTCCACTTTCGACTAGCACACAAGCCACCAAAATATCCACAGTGGTTTTCGCAGTGGAGGTGGGGTCACCGCTGAGTATCACATCCAGCTCTTTGTAGAACCGGCAGCTTGCGGGCACAGCACTGGAACAGCGGTTTGCCTCCCGCGCATTGTGGTAAACATTCCGCAGCTCCTTCACTTTGACCCTGCACTGCAATGTGTCCCGGTCATGGCCCCTTTTCAGTCATGCATCATGAAATCTGTCTGTAGGTATGATAATTCCTACGGCTGAAGCACAGCTGGGACTGGACAGCCTCCTCTCCCCAAATGCTGATGAGGTCCAGCAGCTCAGCATTGGTCCAAGCAGGTGATCGCCTGGTGAGTGAAGCAGGCATGGCAACCTGGAAAGATGCACTGAGATCACTGCACGCATCACTGAGCAAACAGGAAGGGAACTTTCAAAATTCCAAAGGAATTTAAGGGGTGGGGATCACGGTTGGTCAACTGAGGGCAGGGCAGCAGAGTTCAAACCAATGACCAGAGAGGTGAGAACAGACCAATCGCAGTGCTGTAATTGACCAGTGTCTACAGTGGCACCACAGCGCTGTAGCCCTGGTGCAGAAAGCTGTTCGCCTCTCGTTGGGGTGGTTTTTTTACAGTGCCACAACTGCGTAGATTCTGCACACTATGTGGCTTGGCAGTGTGTACACTTCGGGAGTTACAGCACAGAAAGCTGCTTTACTGTGCAGAAACTTGCCAGTGTAGACAGGGCCTAAGAGAAAGGAATTTCCCCCACCCTGAAAATCACCATAGTCTGAGAGAAAGAAAAACTGAAAACCCTTAAAAGGAGAAGGGGTTTGAAGTGAAGGACATCCAGAAACTGAGGGCTAGCATCCAGGCGCTGACAACAGAGGACATGCTGGGAAACGGGTCAGAGGCAACAATATAGAAGGGCGAAGCCTGAAGTTGCATCTTTATGTTTATTTTCTGTGTAACTTGTATGTGTTTGATTTTCTTTACTATTTCATCTCTGAATCTATGATTATTCTATTAAATAATTTTTGTTTTGTCTTTATCCCAAGCAGGTCTCTGGGGTGCACAATGCATGGCGTGTGTACCCCAAAGCATACTGATAACAGAGGCAGGTTTCACTCACTCAGAGGTAACGAACCAGAGGGGAAAAGTTCAAATTCCTGGTAGTTAAGATTTCAAGATAGAAAGATTTGGGGAGACTCAGAACCAGAAGCGCTCTTGTGGTCTCCCTGCAAGGCGTAACTAGGCTGACAGAAGCCAGGGTGAGACCTTTATGCTTGTAGGCTGGCAACTGGTGTCAGGGCTTTGAGCTATAGCAGCATAGCATTAAAGCACCCGAAGTTACAAGGCAGGAAGTAACAGAATCCTTTGTTGGTCTGGCTGATCCCCAAAACTTTACAGCCTAGAAGGTCTGAGAGTTAATAACCGATCCCAGAGATGGAACATTGAGCTGGTCCTCCGGGGTGTCTAGAAGGGCTGAGACAAGATCACAGGGACAGGGTACAGTACCTCCAGAGTGCTTAGAGGGCATTTGTCACTGGTGTATTATTCCTATATGTGCCATACTGACATGTCTGACTGTAAATACAAATTAGATAGCTTCTTTTCTTTAAACTCCTCAAGTTTCTGGCTAATGGACAACAGTAAATCCTCCAATTTTTCCAAACAGACAAGACCTCTCAACAGTCTGGTTCAAGCAATGCACAAACTCGGGAACTGGATGAACACAAACAGCAAGGTGAAGGTGATTTCAATATAGAGACCTTGGAAATTGATGAATGAAAGCAGGCAGATGAATCATAAGATTCCAATCTAATGACTTTCAAAGAGTCTATCACCACCAAGCTCAGAGGAAGATCTGCAAGTGCAGCACTAATCTCTCCTGCTTCTATTTACTGATTCATGCTTTTTTAACTGATTCACGATTGTGGCCTAAACACATTACAGATTCTGTTAATCAAAAAATTGTTCTATCTGGTGTACTGAATTTAAAAGAAATGCAGACACTGGTGAAGTCTGTGCCAAAAGATGTTGATGGCCATAATTTTCCTGAATTTCTTCTCAAACGTAAGACTTCCAACAATAGAGAAAAGATTACAAGACATTGGCTTGTTTGAAGGGCTACCCACCAAGCACTGTACTGCTTCCCATGTTGACTATTTTCTGAGGGGGAGGACAAACAAACAATGCAGTATACTGGCAAAAAGTGAAGAGTATTCTCCAGCTATGAAAAAATGTCTCAACCTACATCAAACTTCCTGAACATAAAAAGAGCATAGATCATAAAACCCACTACTGCCAGTAGAAGGAATCAGAGTAGGTGTTGTGATGTGGATGGGGAACACACTGTAAGATCCAAAAATGAATATTAACAAAAGCTGAAAGATGGACAGCAATACTGGAAAAAATGTTAGATGTTACCTTACATCTTGCTTCAAAAGGCATAGCATTTCAAGGAGATAGTCTGATTGATGATCCATACAATGGCAACTTTCTTGGAACTCTTGAGTTACTAGATCATGACAACATAACTCAGGGCCATTTGGCTAGAGTAAACAGAAGCAGATAGAGGCTAGAACAACGCAAGGACAGGTACATTACCTCTCATGAGAGATCAGAATGAGTTTATTGAATTATGTGGTAAAAGCGGGCAAAAGGCCATTCTTGCAGCAAAAGAAAAAGCCATCTATTATCCTATCATATGTGATGCTACTCCTGATGCCTCTCACCATGAACAAAATGTGCTGATATGCAGGTTTGTAGGTCAGGACCACAACAGTAGTGCATTTAACATTCAAGAAAGATTCTCCAGTTCATCAACTTTAATAAAAAAAGATATAGATGAAATGCTAATTGTCAGGTGAAACGCCATAACATTCCATTTGATGACTGCTGAGGTCCAGGATTTGAATGTGTCAGGAAAATTAAAAGGCATAGGCCTGCATTATGTTCAAAAATAGACTTGCTGTGTCTTCTCCTTGCACTTCCGATTGACATAATAATTACTTTATTGTTTTCCCTTTCCTCCAGATAAGCAAACAGTTAATCCCTAGAATAAATGAAATAAGTAGAGACAAAAGCCTCAATCCTGCAAACATACGTATGCTCAACTTTATCCATGAGTAACCTCAATTCACTTCAGTGGGAGTGCTCATGTTCTTAACAGGCCTTGCACAAACTTGCTGTAGATATTAGACTTTTTGCACACAGAGTGTACTACTTTAAATACAGGTAAGAAAACAATCCTCAAAAAGTTTATAATCTAAATTCACAACTTCAGGAATTATCTTAAATTTCCTCAAAGGTTGGTTAAAAAGACATCACAAACTTGACAGCTAGTCCACTTTAAAAAATGAATTTAAAGTTTTTCAAGGCACCGCAACTGCCCCAAATGCTCCAATTTGTAATAACATTTTCCTATTTTCAGGAACTTTTATTATGCAAGCCTCACATTGATACTAGAATGGTCTCAAAGTTTAACCCACTACTTCAAACGGACATGTTAGAAACACTAAACCTTCTCTACATCCTTACCCACAGGTTTTGAGATTAAGGGGATTTAGGGAATTTCCCACCCCAAATTGTAAAGGTATTGTTAAGACAGTTTTTAAACATCCTTTGTAGCGAATGACTTCTGCTGTGCATTTGCTTCAATTATATATTTAAAATATCATTCATTTCATCTTTAAGATATTTCCTCATTCAATCAATCTTGACAGACAACTCAGCACAAATGGAAATGGGTTAGTTATAATGAGATCTAAGGATGAAAAGCACTACATAATAGGTAGGTAGCAGTAGTATTATATATTTATGGGAACAAAGAAATCTTAATATATGGTTTACATCCAAACCACAGCCATCCAAAAATGAAACCCAAAGGAAAAACAACAAACACACAGAAGTACGTCAGAGTCCTCATGTGACCCCTAGAGAGAAAAGGGAATGGCGAGGGGGAGAAAGAAGAGCTGAGAAGAGGGAAGAGGTGCTGATGGGGATGGGGTGAGCAGGGAACGTGACAAATATGAATGGGGAGAGCGGGATAAGGAGAACAGAGACTTTATGAAAACTCCTTGCAGCCCCAGCCCCCACTGCCTTATACAGTGTGCGTCCGACACAACGCCATGGGAGTCCGCTTGCCCCACCAGTGCCCCAGGGTTCAATGGCAGCCCGTGCCTGCCAGAAAGCCTTTTGCCATGGGAACCCTTTGCCACCCACCCCACGACAGCTCCAGACCCCCTGCAGAATGCCCAGAGCCTCTGACCCCCCACTCTTACCTCTCTTATCCATGAGCCACATGAAGGCGAAGCAGGGCAGGAAGCCGATTGGGCCCCACAAGACGAGCAAGGCGATGTCCCAGCTGGAGAAGCCGAAGGCCAGGCGGGCCGAGTTCTGGATGGGGCCCCAGCTGTTCCACACCAGGCCCTGCGCGAAGCCCAGCAGCGAGAACACCAGCAGCACGAGCCAGCGCCGCCCGTAAACCCGGCTCAGTACCGGCACCAGCCGGGGCGCCGCCGCCGCCGCAGGGGTAAGGCCCCGCCGAAGCTGGGGCACAACGGGACCCCCCGCCGCCCCCCGGGGCTGTGGTGGTAGCAGGGACTCCCGCTCCTCCGCGCTGCTCCAGCCTAGACCCATCTGCGGGAGGCGGCGAGGGACCTGCCTCCGGGCGGCCAGGACGGGCTCGCGGCCAGCAGCTCTCGGGGCGGTTGAGGGGCCCGGGTCCTGCTAGGGCATCGGGGAGGGGTCCGGGGAAACGACGCCAAACTCACAATCACAGCGCTTCTGCCGGGCCCTGCCCAGCCGCATGCGCGAGCCGGGCGGCCCTGCCCACGAGCCGGCGTCTTCCCTCCTACCGACCCACCCACTCTACTTCCAGTCAGAGCCGCCCCCCAACGGTCACTCCCTGGGGGTGGGGGGTCTCCCTCAGTCAGAGCCCCCCCCAACGGTCACTCCCTCGGGGTGGGGGGTCTCCCTCAGTCAGAGCCCCCCCCAACGGTCACTCCCTCGGGGGTGGGGGGGTCTCCCTAAGTCAGAGCCCCCCCCCAACGGTCACTCCCTGGGGGTGGGGGGTCTCCCTCAGTCAGACGCCCCCCCCCAACGGTCACTCCCTGGGGGTG